ACCAAAAACCAGAAACAGCCTTCCTACTTGTAAACTGAAGAGCCTTTGCCCTGGCCTAGACCATCCTCCCTGGTGGCTGCGGGATACGGAATCAGAGGCTTAGGAGATGGATCAGTTCCATCAGTTGGCCTCCTGGGTCGCTTTTACAAGCTATTTTACAAGGTCGGTGAGCAGAGCTGCCTCTAAGCTGGCAATGGAAGAAAACACCCTGGAGGTCAACTTCTGAAGAATTTCTGCTAAGTTTATCTTAGCATAAATACATGAAGGCGACCGGAGGGAAGAAATGTTAACAATGATTGATTTTCTTTGAACGTCAAAGCCCTGTGACATTTATTGTTTTATTTAATCACCCCACAACTACATTTGAATAGCTATCATTGCAGGTGAGTTCCACTTGCCTAAGATCACAGATTCGGAACAGAGTAGAACTAAAAACTACAATCTGCCTATCTCCGGGGTTCGTGTCCTTCATCACAACTTTTTGGGGGGAAGAGTACTTCTGTGTTCGAGGAGGGAGACGGTGGGCATGAAGATTCTGAAAGGACTTCTGGAAAACCTGTAAGACTCAGGGGAATGGCCAAGTATCTCTTAGGAAGACACCTTCCTCGGGAGGAGCTTTCATATCTGAAAGGAAAGCATACACTTCGAGAACTCTGACTGTTGGTGCTTCTTGTTGACTCGTTTATATTGTCAGTGCCCCTTTCCTGCTTAAGCCGCCACATGAAACTCACGAAGGAGCCCATGAAACTGAGCGCTGCACAGGGAGCCCCGAAAACTGCCTTGTCTCTGCCACCAACCACGTGTGTGAGGCCTAACTTTCTCTTTAACTTTTGTTCTGTGGTGCTCCCTGCCCGACGTACTAAGTGTTCAATAAATACCGGCTGTGATTGATTAGTTGGGTTCCATAGTTCAGTTTCCATGAGGTGAAAAAGAAGTTCCCGGAGTGCAGTTACGCCCCCACCAGCTTTGGGCAGCGAGCAGCTTACTAGCAGTTAAGGGCCTTGCAGCGCAGATGCTGGGGGCCTACCGTCACCGACCAACGGAGAAATGAAGGGAAACAGAATCCGGCAATGAAGGGGCATCGAGCTTATTTCTCGGACTTCACAAGGGTCGTTCACTGCATGCATCATCAGCTGCATTTGTTACCGAAGAGAGAGCCAAGCTTCAGGTTAAACCTGGCACCCTTCACCCTGGCCATAAAGCCTACAGGTCGCCGCCCCAGGGGCGTATTTACATCCCGGACCCCGCCCCCATCTCTCAGCCCGGGGGCCCCGCCCACTCGCCCGCTCATTCGCCTATGGGCGCGCCCGGAGTGGGTTCAGTACCGCGGCTTCGGCGGAACCGTCCTCTGGCCCCTGGCTCGTCCTGTCCTCCAGGCGGGCTCGGTTCCTCCGAGGGGATGGGCACTTGCTCCTCCGCGGCTTGCTGAGGGAAGGTGGGCCCAGCGGCGGCCCTCACAGGCCCCACCCAATGGCGCTGGAGAGACCAAGAAGGGGACCCAGGGCCGAGGCAGGGGGACGGGTGATCCTGGGGCTGTCTCCCCACTGCGACAGGACACGTGCTTCCCCTCCATCC